TGTGCCCTTCTGTCTGCTCCAAGGTCCCATCAAGGTTGAGACTGTCTTGGTCACTCTGTCACCCCTGGCATAGCAGCTTCCACTTAACAGAAATGAAAGACACTTTCCTGAACGGAGCCCAACTCTGTGAAGTCTTGTCTGTAAGTCAGTGGCATGACAAACCTCCTTCCAAACCTCACTCTGTGTAGCCCTGATCATAGGGCTGGTTTCATAAGAGATCATCAATAAATATTAGTTAACTAGCTAATTTTTAGCCACAGGCCAGTCTGACTGGAAATGCTTCTAACTGCGCTCGCTAAGACACAACCACTGGACACGGCAAACTATACCCACAAAGGAGGTCGAGATAGTTGTTCTCGAATCTGTTCCTCCTCCTCCCAGCCATTATCTGAGTCATGCAGATGCAGAACCCTTGAGTCATCTTTGCTATCTCCTGTCAACATGTAAATAAGTTTCAAAAGTCCCATCTTTCATACCTTCTGTAAGTCCTGCTCCTATCGGTCACCAGCCCAAAGCTCCTTACCAAAAAAACTCATCACCAACTGTGACAGTCCTCCCAGATCCATCCTCTGCACTGCAGTCCTACCCGCGTGCCACCAACGATTCTAGTCCGTTACAACCTTGGCGGGTATCACTCAGCAGCCTCACTCGACAGCCCACAGCATAAAATCCAAACACCTTATCAATCCGTTCATTATCTGCCCCTTAACATACTTTTCCAACCTCGTATCCCACTATTCCTTCCAACAAGAAGTGACCTCTTCTCACTAACATCTCCCCATGTCCAAAGGAGGTCGATTTTCCGAATCACAGGTCAAACGCTATTTCCTGCAGCAAAGACCTTCCCTGACTACCCAAAACATACTCCCTACCACTTTCCTAAAATATCTCTTCCCATCTGAATTTTCAAAGTAACTTTCTAGCATTTTTCACCTTCTGCCTTACAGTAGTTTCTTACACATGCTTTCACCTCCCCTCCCACACTGCAGACTCTCCTGTGAAGAAGCTCGAGGTCTGGCTCCTCTGTCTGAACCACCACTTCTCCCTCTTCCCACTCCATGCTCATCCCATCCTCCACCCCAGAGCGCCTCACAAGACAGAGCTTAAATACCCCAGACCCTTGGCCTACTCCGATTCAACAGGACACTAACACTTGGGTATTCTCACTTGCCTTTCCAGTGACGGAACCCTGCACCTCTCTTCCCACATACCCGTAGTCACTGCAGTGGACTGATAAACCTTCTCTCTTCGTGGGGGGAAAAGAAAATCCTCAAGGAGAAAGTGAACAGGTGCCACAGGTGACAGAAGTGAAAAAAGGGAATGGCAGAAAAAAGGAAGCAATGCTTATGAAAGGATAGTGGTCAAGAGATCTCCAGGGAATGCATAATTGTCGAAAACCTGGGACATGATGAATCCCAGACCTGTTCCCCTGAAACAAATGATACCTTAGATGTTAATGAAAGAAAGAAAGAAAGAACAAACAAGACCAAAACAAAGTGTGGGACAGAAATTCACTGAATGAGTAAAATAATAAGGAAAGGAATAAATCTGAAAACTGAAAAGAGAGCAAACTTTCCTTTCCCTCCTTCTACCAGCTTGTACTGACAAAACACTTTCTGGAGGAGTGTTATCCAACAGCACTTTCTGCAACGATGCAAGTGCTGTTCATCTGGGCTGTGTGCTAGGAAGGGGACCACCAAGCACACAGCTACAAAGCAACTGAAACTGAGCAACTGTGACCACACAAACTGAATTTTTTTTGAAGATTTTTTATTTTATTTATTTGACAGAGAGAGATCACAAGTAGGCAGAGAGGCAGGAAGGGGGGGCGGTGAGCAGGCTCCCCGCAGAGCAGACAGCCCAATGCAGGGCTCGATCCCGGGACCCTGGGATCATGAACTGAGCTGAAGGCAAAGGCTTTAACCCACTGAGCCACCCAGGTGCCTCAGAACTGAATTTTTAATTTTACTTAATTTAAAGGAAAGTAGCCATATGGGGCTAGTGGCTACTGTATCAGCCAGTGATTGTCCAGAATATGAAATGTACACACCTAGTATTTGAATTGTCCAAAGTCTTTTCCTCACCAAATTCCAGTAAGCTAATAAAAGTCCATGATCAATTTTCTGTTTAATAACCCATTACATCTTTTCCAGTTTTCACCTTCATTTTACTGAGGAAGGGAAGGAGATCAGAGCTGAAGAGGGGACGAAGAAAAGAGGACAGGCCAGGGTCAGAACGCCGGGCACTGCGCTGGCAGTGTTCTTTGTGCACCATTTCTTTTGACGCCCCCTCAGCCACGTCTGAGACACCGAGGACCCCCCCTCTTCTAAAGCTGAGGAAACAGAGACAGAGAGCAATTAACCGGCTTGCCGGGCTAACAGCTTGGCGGGACTCGGATTCAAATCCTCGTCTGAAGTCAGAAGAGCTCTTAAGCATTCTACTTGGATTGCTAAGACTAAAACAGGCAGGATGAAAAGCAGGTTGGGGAGTCGCAGGAGGCTAACGTTATTCAGAACATAAGAACAGCCGGTCCCGCCAGCGCACCTGACCAGAGACTGAGGGTGTATCCAGGCTACTTTGCTCCATGTGTGGTAAATGACGCCCAGTAAATGCAGCCATTCCTTCAACCATGCCTATGATTCCAAGCTGGGGTACACAGCACTGAACAAAACGGAAGTCTCCACCCTCGTGGGGTTTACATTACAATGAAGGAATTTAAAGAATAATTAGGAACATCTCTAAAGGTGGTGAGAACTAAACAGACACTCAAATGAGCCACTTAGCGGCAAGTAGAGACCGCAAGAGACTGTTCCAGGCCAAGGCGCCACAGGGACAGACAGAGAGGTGGACGGGCTGGGAGCACACGTGGGACAGCAAGGAAGTCAGTGTGGTAAAACCACGGAGACGGGAGAGAAGCAGGCGACACGACCACACAGTTAAGCAGGGGTCAGACCCCGCTGGGACCTGAGGGTCCCTGGGAGGCTTTGGAATGTATTTTTAAGATCACAGACACCCACAGGAGCGGACAGTGTGTGTGGGGTGAGCGTGCTGAGAAGAGTAAAGGAGATGTGCTCTCCTCCGTGTCATAGAGGAAACGCTGGAACTGTAAAAGTGGGTGGTGACGAAGCAAAAGCAAGGAGAAAAGGGAAAAGCAGGAAGTCCAAGTAGGAAGGACTTTTTTGAGTGATGAAGCAATTTTAGATTAGTAGGAGAGCTGCACATGTAGGGTAGAAACTAATTCAGGACAGATTTTAAGCTAAATACATTGGGTCAAACCACCAGCCACGAATGGAAAGAAGGAAGAAAACGCTGAGTTCCAAAGAAGTCCCTAAGAGGGGACCTGCGCACCGGTCTCTTCGGGCTCTACAGTACTCCCAGGCACTGCTTCCCATACCCTCGCGCCCTGGCACCGCACGCAGAACCACCAGCAGCAGATCCGCACAGCGCACGCTCGCAGACGGTCCCGCTGCTCCCGGGCCCAGCTTTCGGCGACTGGTCTGTCTGTCCGCGGGGATTTCAGAACGGGCGGAGCGGCCCTGACAAACGGACTGCAGCGCCGGCAGCATGACTTCCTGGCTACCCTTGCCTGCCTCCCCCCAGCACTCTCCCCGCCCCACGCAAGGCTTCCCGATGTTTGGCAACACTGTTTCCCCAAACCCGAAACCGCGGGCCGGGAAACTGAAACACAGAACAGGCGCAGAAAACCCGCCCGGCGGGAACCTCCCCGGTGGGCGCGCCCATCCATGACCTCTTGGCGGTGGAATCCTCCAGGAGGTGTCGTTGCAGGCACCCGGGCGCCGGGGTGCGCGTGTCCCAGGGCGACCCTGGCCGCGTGTCCAGGCACCCGCAGCCTGCGCGAGGTCCTCCGGCCTGCAAGCTGACCGCGGGGCAAGCAGGTGCGGAGCAGGAGTGCTGAGCGACCCCCGGCCGCCGCGCCATTCCCAGCCGGGTCACTCCCGCCCCTTCCAGCGCACAGGGCTAGACCCCGGGCCTCCCGGGAGGCCCTCCTACTCTCCTCCCTCCCGCCCTTCCTCGCTGCTCCGGCACCGATCTGCCCCCAAACGAGCTGCTGCTTCCGTCCCTTCTACTCCCCTCTGCGTTCACGCGATGTCCCTCTGCGTCCCCGACCAGGGCGTCTAACGAGGGGAGGACCGAGCCGAAAGCGGGGTGCCGGCGCCGGCCGTGCCCGGGACCTCGGCGTCAGACCCGCGTCAGCGCAGGGCAAGGCAGGCCGGCTTCACCAGCGCATCGCCGAGGCCAAGGCCCGGGCGGGAGGCCTGCGCGCCGTCGGGGCCGCCCCGACCCAACACCCGAGCCACGACGGGCTCAGGCCCCGCTGGGGCAGGTCGTGACCAGCGCCCTACGGCCGCTTGAAGGGCACCGGGTCACAGCAGGCGCGTTTCCCTCAACAGCGGGGCGGCGGGGAGCCGCACGGCTGCAGCCCCCGCAGGACCCCGCGCCGCCGCCTGCCCTCCCTCCCCGCGCACAACCCGCCTCCACAGCGCGGACGCCCGCCCGCGGCGCGCGGGGGGCAGGGCCCGAGAGGCCGCAGCGCCTCCGCCCGCGGGGTCCCGAACGGCGCCCCGGGAGAGCGCGAGAGCAGGACGCGGGGGACCCCGGCCGCGCCCGCACCCCCGCCGTCCTGGGGGCAGCGTCCCGGAGGCCGGACGCCGGACGTGCCGGGACAGCAGTTTCGGTTTCCGAGCAGCGGGCGACCCCGCCGGCGCGGCCGGTCCCCAGGGGCGCCCCGCGCACGCCCACGGGAGCGCCCCGCCGCACGGCCCGGACCCTGCTCCGCAGCCGCCGCGGCCCGCGGGGGTCGGGGGCGCCCGAGGGGCGTCGCCCCGGGAGCCGCGCTCAGAACCCCGGCCTGCCGCGCGCCCCCGACACCCGCCGCGCCCGGTGCGACCACGCCCGGCCGAACCCCTCAGCGCCGCGTCGCCCGTCCCGCGGCGCCCGCTCCGCCCCGCGCCGTCCCGCGCGCCCCCCGCATAGCTTACCTTCCGCCATGTCGGGCCGGCCCTGCCGCAGCCTCGCGAGAAGTGCGCGGCGCTCACGGGGCGGTGCGCGCGGGCGGCCGCGGGTCTCGCGAGAGTCTCGGGAGGGGGCGCGCGGAGTGGCGGGCGCGGGCCGCGCGCGGCGGCTCCTCCTCCCCTCGCGCCTCGGAGGCCGGGGCAGCTGCGCGCTGACGGCCTGGGTGGCGGCTGCGGCCCCGCGAGGCCCTGCCGGGTGGACACGGCAAGCGACACTAGTGCTTTCACAGAGCCGGCCGGGGGACGGTTGTGGGGCGGGCGCGCCGCTCTCACGGCTCGTGTCTTGCCGGGCAGCTGAGGTGGCGGCAGAGACGACGGGAACCGGAGCGGGGGCTCACCGCGCATCCCACTGTGCTCCCCTCCCCGGACTCCACCGCGCACCCCACTGTGCACCCCTCCCCGGACTCCACCGCGCACCCCATTATGCACTCCACCGCCCACCCCACTGTGCACCCCTCCGCGGACCCCACCGCGCACCCCTCCACGGACCTCACCGCGGACTTCACCGCGCACTCCACGATGCACCCCACCACGCACGGCTCCGCGGACCCCACCGTGCACCCCACCGCGTGCCCCACTGTGCACCCCTCCCCGGACCCCACCGCGCGCCCCACTGTGCACCCCTCCGCTGTCCCCACCGCGCACCCCACAATGCACTCCACCGTGCACCCCACCGAGCACCCCTCCGCGGACCCCACGGCGCACCCCTCCACGGACCTCACCGCAGAAACCACCGCGGACTTCACCGCGCACCCCACTATGCACCCCTCCGCGGACCCCACCGTGCACCCCACTGTGCACTCCTCCGCGGACTACACCGCGCACCCCACGATGCACCCCCCGCACGCCCCACTATGCACCCCTCCGCGGACCCCACCGTGCACCCCGCTGCGCACCCCTCTGCGGACCCCCACCGTGTACCCCAATGTGCACCCCTCCGCGAACTCCACCGCGCACCCCACTGCGCACCCCTCCGTGGACTCCACCGATGACCCCGCGGTAGAACCCATGCGCACCCCACGATGGACCCCACTGGACCCCACCCATGCGCACCCCACTATGCATCCTACCACACCCCACACCAGTGGCCCCTCCACAGATCCCACCGGGGACCCAACTGATGACCCCAAGTGGACCTCAGCGCGCACCCCAGGACCCCTCTGTGGACCCCACCAGGGACCAGAGGCCGTTGATTAAAGCCCACAGAAGGGGACCCAAATGGGCCGAGAGGCGTCAGGAGACCAGATGATGACATGAGTTCACGGACCAGAGAGAGACCCTAGACCTGGCCTGAAGGGCCGGGGCGCGTGTCTCCTGTGCATGTGGACGGGTGCTTTCCGAGCAGAAACACCCCCCCACCCCCACCCCCGCGGGCTGAGAGCACGGATGGCAGTTCTGGCCTGGCCTTGGGATTTCCTGCCAGACAGGTGGAGCGGACAGCTCAGGTGCAGACCCGTAGGGGCAGGGGATGGGGTCGTGAAACCCAGGTGTCTGTCCTGTCGAGGGCCAGTGGGGAGGCTCGTGTGCCAGGTGGCAAAGGGCAGCTCTAAGCTCAGTAGCCCCAGGATGTGATAAGGTCCAGGACAGGGAGTGCAACACACCTGCCGCAGTGAACAGTAAGAAGCCGGGGAAATTACTATTGGGACTGAGAGGTAGGGAAGGAGGGAGACCCTAAGCCAGGAGCCAAACTTTCAGTGACTCTGGGGACATCCCACAGCAAAAAACTGGGTTAAGGAGTAATAGGACCAAATAGCAGAGACCTTTCCAAACAGATTTTTAGCCAAAGGAGACGAAAGAGAACGGTGGTGGCCACATCTCTGGAAGCACGGGGACCACAGGGGACACAGTGACTGGGAGAAGAGCCAAGGTAGAGATGGAAGTCTGAGAACGGCAGAGGGGTCCCAAGCTAGAGAAGCGGTGGGTGCTACCAAAGGTAAGCACCAGAGGGTAGGAAGGGGGAGTAAAGAAGGGATCTGGAGTATGTTCTGAGGGAGAGGGAGGAATTCTGGCCGAGGGACACACGGGAGAGGGGAAGAGAAGAGGGTGTGGAGACACATCAGGACAGTGGCACACTCCGGGAGATGCTGCTCCAGCTGCAGGGGGACACTGAAGGTGGGCGGGATGTGGGCCAGGGCAGGTGGCCGCACGGGGCCGAGCAAGGGGCACTTAGACCACCGAGGGTTAGGGGAGGACTTGCGGGGTGTGCAGGCCAGGCCAGAGCGCCCAGCTTCTTCGTCTGTGAAGAGTGGTTTGGAGGTGTGCCACACAGTGAGCCACTGGGGTCATCGGTGTGGCCTGGAAAGCCTGTCCCCTTCGGCCACAAGCAGCCGTGGCCATTTGAGCGTGCCCTACAGACACGTGCTGGGTCCTGGCCAAGGAATGAGGGGAGTGTCTGGGAAATAGCATCATAGCTGATGCCTGTTTGGCAACAGACCACTTCCCTGGTCTCACCAGCATCAGCCTGGCACATGACACGGCGGGTGCTCGGCGTTCGAGGCGTGGTTGCGGCCGAGTGAGCTACAGCGGCAGTCAGGAGAACAGGGTGTGAGTCCGGCCCGGCAGCTGATGTGCTGTGTTGGCGCAGGCCGGGGCCTGCAAGCTCGTGCTCCCATCGCGACTCCACGGCTGTCTCAGCACGCTCGTAAGGGTTCGGAGGGTCAGGACCCCTGTGAGAACGTGACGAAAACCAGGGACAGCAGCACACGTGCGGGAAGAAACAAATCTGGGCCCTTCCAGCTGGCTGGGACCAGACGCCCACAGCCGAATGGAAACCCACTCAGGGGCTGGAGTACCTCCTCCTCAGGCCTCCCTCAGGTAGCCCTCCACGACGCACGCACGGTCCTGTTAGGAGGACCCGGAATAGACCCTGATCCTAGTCCTTTGTCTTCTGCCCTCCTTCTGGATTCCTAACTGGCTTGAAAGCCCTGAGCCACGGAGAGGCCCTCGTGGCAGAGCCCGGGACACAAAGCCACGCTAGCACTGGGCAGTCGAACTCCAACAGCCCCCAGGCTCCGGGGCGCTCCCAACACTAGAATGATCGGAGAGAGAGACAGTCTAAAAACTCAGCCCTGGAACCCGGCTCACCGTAGACCTGGCTCAGCTTTTGCTCAGACGAAGAGGAACTCGGTGTGGAGTTGTCCAGGACAGGGAGTAGGAGGCGCGTGAACGGGAAATGCTGAGGCGTTAAGGGCACGCGGGATCAGGCTTTTCCTGGGGGAGCAGCTCCCTGTCGCGGTAAAGGGGAAGGGACAGGATCTCTCGGAATCCACTGAATTGGGCTCGAGTACCGGCCTTCATGTGTGCATGGTCTGTGTGACGTGACGCGAGGGGTGGCAGCACCTGGTACGGGAGGTTGTGGAACAGAATTCCAGCCGTGAAACTTACTTGCTCTACGGTTTTGACACTGACCTGCACGTGTTTCCGTGTGAGAAAGCGTTACTTTGGAAGATCCTTGTAAGAAAGGGGCTAGGACCCTTAGGAGACACACCTGCGCAAGCCTGCCGAGAAGCAGAAGCTCAAGAAATAGGAATGGGATCTCTGGGGTTCCTTAGGAATGGAGGAGATGCCGCTGTGAACACAAAGCACGACCACGCTTATTCCTAATGGGATACTGCTGGGAAGGGAGAAAAATCAAGAGTCTTGCCTAGAACTTTCTGTGTGGAACCTTGGTCTAAGAGCGGTCTGCTTTTTTGTGAAAGTCTTTTCCTTCTCCTGTGGTTTATTCTGCCAGTGTGAATAGGATTCACATCTTTTCTCATCTCACTACGGCTCTGTGGGACATGCCGGTCCAGTGAAACAAAACAAAACCAAAACCCTAACCCTACCCTGGCATTCATGTTACACACATCTGAAACTGAATAACCAAAAATACCTTATCCTGGAAATAATTTGCTCTGCAAACTGTATTCCTGCTGGGGTTTGCAGTCCTCTGGGAAGGCCTGTCTTTCTGAGGGTGAGGGGGAAAATCAGGGGGTCCTTCCTTCAAGCCAACAGCCTTGCTCACAGCAGACCTAGTCCAACACTGTTTCTTTGCACTTGAAGCTGCTTATTGCTAAAACCTTGGGCAGATGACTGTGCATAAAACTGGCATCTAAGGTTCAGGGACATCATCTGGACTCCTATAATTTATTGCAAATGTGTTTATCAGGAAAATTCGATTTTGATAACAACCTCCAATCCGCTCTCAAGGACTTTGTCTCTAACTCAGTTCTGATTAGAGATTTGGCTTCTCCTCTTCTCTGGAAGGAGGAGGCCTTCACAGCCACAGGCAGCGCAGGTCCCAGCGAACATGCCCTCCCCGCTGTGCCGGAGCTGTGCGTGAGGGTGCAGGGTGGAAGGCTGGACAGCGGTGTCCTGTTAGGGAGAGAAAAGAAAGAAGGAAGGAAGGAAGGAAAAAGTCCTCAGTCTTGCGCAAGCTCTTTTTGCCCCTAACTGACTCAGTGACCCTGGGCAGGTATCCAGGCCACGTGTGCCCGTCTGTGCAGAGGAGGGTCGGTGGCACTTGAAATGGTGTCTGCGGTCTGGCCCGCTTCCCTTCCGAGTCCGGGTTCTTCGCCTTCTGGCTCATTATGTCTGCGGTAGAGCCAGTTCCGGCTAAAGAGGAAATCCCTCAAAACGCCCTAAGTCAGCAGGCACAGAGCGCTGGTAAGGAAGAGTGCTTGGCCCCCTACCAGAAGTTTTAAGACTGTTACATCAGGTTGGAAGTCAACTTCCCACCCCGTTTCCTCCTTTAAATGCAGTTTGAAGAATTCTTTTTCAAGATTCCCCGGTGGACCTTTTGGTATCATGTGCTGTTTAGAAATAATCCCACAAAGTTGCTTTTGAGACCTGCATCCTAAAACCAAAATAGCTCGTGATACAGCCTCTAAGTCATCATTTATTGATTTACAGAGCACCCACCACATGGCGCAGGGGCTTTACAATACAGCAAACATCACAACAGAACTCACATAGTTAAATACAATCAACGAGTTACAGAACTAAAAACAGCTGGAATGA